GCCCCGCTATACTGTACTGCTAATAAGGAACCCCCAAAATAGTATTGGTAAAAATTTGGCCCCCATGTTAGGGTTCAGGGTTTAAGGTTCAGATTTTGAGGGCTTCTTAAGCGTGAGGCATGAGGGGGACTGGCGGAGATGGCGAAGCTCCGGTTTGGGCCTCACTTGCAGGTGGGTGGTTGTCAAAATTAGGGTCCCCTTTTTGGTACCCTAAACAATAGGTGCCGTGTTATAATAGGGACCCAAAAAAAGGGACCCTAATTTTGACAACTACCAAGGTCATACGGTTGATTATATAACCCCTGCATTACCCAAAATGAGGAGTATACCAGAAATCCCATAGTTTAGGGTTTCTAAGGCAATGCAGGATTGATGTCATCAACCGTAAGGCTCTCTTTGTTCTAGAAGTGCACATGAACCCAAGCCTTTGCCAATGACAGCTGGCACTGCGGTCGATGGAATCGACACAGATTGCCTCGGTCGCGCTCAATGTTCGAGCATCGGGGTGCTAGGCTTAGGGCTTTTGGCTTTTAGGGTTCAGGATGTAGGGTTTACTGGTGCTGAAATAGCAATTGTGCGGAAGTCGGCTCGTAAACCCTAAACCCGAAACCTTAGTCCCTAAAACCTGAAACCTTTAACTTAAGGTCTAAAAAAAACCTGAACCTTCCACCCCAGCATGGGTATCTCATGGGTCTAGTGTACCGCTGATGGACGAAACCCTGCAGTGTACATATCTAAAGAAGAAACAATTTAGGGTTTCAGGTAAAGGGTTTCAGGATGTTTCAAGTATAGGCTTTAGGCTTTGTGTAGGCTTGAGGGCCTAAGGTTTAAAATATCGTTTTCGTGGTTTTCAACGCTTGAGTCATGCACCCTGGCAGAACCTATTTCTGCCGTCATCAGTCATCAACGCTTTCAAAACCGTTTTGCTGGAAATTACCCCGGTCTTGTCCGTCAGCAACAGGGCTATACTGCACAGTGTCCATTGCCCTTGCCTCTAACTTCCGAAATCTACCCCCCCCAATTACTGAATCCTCACTACCTCGTGGAACCCCAAACCTCATCTTAGCCTCAACCCCGAGCAGCCACTTTCATAGCACCTAAAGCCTTTCAACAACCATAAACCCCTAATTACAGCACTAAACCTCCCCACCCCCAAATCCTAAGCACCGAAACCCAAAAACCGAAATGCCCAACCCAAACGGTTTGGGGTTTAGGGTTAAGGGTACGGCCCAACACTAAACTGCAGCTCCAGGAGCTTTCGGGCCTTCGACTTCGGCGCTGCCTCGAATAGGGAGGATGTGGAAAAGGGAGCTGTGAATGGCCCAGGGACCGTGCTCTTTTCGGTGCTTCTGAGAAGAGTTCTATACTTAGTTTCAGGGTTCTGTAAAGGTTCTAGACATTTTTGTCGGAGCTTTAAAAGGGTTCCAGAAAGGGTTCTGCAAGAAGGAGTGTAGGGTCCAGGGTTCCAGGTTTGTTTGTACCCCAAATAGCCCCTAAACCCTAAACCCTAAGTAGGATCCTTTGTTATAAGGACCCCAAATACGGTACAGTACCCCGAATTTTCGGAAACTCTAAACCCTTATAGAGCCCTTTAAAGGAACCCTTGTAGTACCCTTAAACTAACCCTTAAGGCTTTGCTCGACTTTAGTCTCCTCAACCTCAACCAGTATAACCCGACTCCTCGCTTTCGAACCTCGCAACCTTAAAGCCCAAAAGCCCTACAGGGAACTCCAGAAAGTTGGAATATGGTTGCATGGCAGGATACCCTATAATTTACCATAGAAGGGTTAGGATAATCATATTCCAACTTTCTGGCTTTTTACCTTGAACCCAAGACCCCTTACCGACAGCCTTGTGAAATCAGCACCCAATAAAGATGTTTTATCTCAATCCCTGAACTCGAAACCTAACAGAGGGCACATATATTTGGAATAGGGTTTTGGGGCGCATTTACACTATAATTATAACAAGGAACCCCCCAAAATAGTATCGGTAATTATGTAGGCCCCTATATGAAGCCCCAAACCCGAAACCTGAACTGCAAACCTCACGCCCAAAGCACCAACCTAATTATCTCTAGAGCCCAAATCATCATCCCAGAACCCGAAACCTTAGTTTCTGAGTTCATAAGCCCCAAAAGTATACACTTTCAGTTTTATGGGGGTGATATTATAGTGCAAAGTGTATCCACTCAGCTACTAAGAAACCCAAAGAACTACACACTAAACTACATGTAAACCTAAATCTGGTGAACCGAAAGCCAACCCTGAATCCTAAACCCTGAAACCCTAAACCCTAAACCCCTAAACCTAAACCCCCTAATCCCTAAACCCATTCATCCGCCTTGGCGTCTGCCTTGGGTGCCGGCGCTGCAGAAGCGGCGGCGCGGCTCGGTGCCACCGAGGCGCGGTCGCTCGGCGGTGCTGGGGGCCCTGAGGGCTTCAAGGTTTAAGTAAGGAGCAGCTTTTTGTTGGGGCCGGGGGGCGTGGTTCAGGATTTAGGGTTTAAACCCTAAACCCTAAACCCTAAACCCTCTTTTAGGGGTTTAGGGTTTAAGCGAGGAGCATCTCGCTTGGGGTTTAGGGTGTTGAAGCGCTTCTTCTCTGCTGTTTCCGCCCCCGGCCCAAGACTCACTGTTTAGGGTTTAGGGTTTAGGGTTTATAGGGTTGAGGGTTTAGGGTTTATAGGGTTTAGGGTTTAGGGTTTAGGGTTTAGGGTTTAGGGTCTAGGGTTTATAGGGTTGAGGGTTTAGGGTTTAGGGTTGAGGGTTTAGGGTTTATAGGGTTGAGGGTTAAGGGTTTAGGGGTTAGGGTTTAGGGTTGAGGGTTGAGGGTTTAGGGTTTATAGGGTTGAGGGTTTAGGGTTTAGGGGTTAGGGTTTAGGGTTTAGGGTTTAGGGTTTAGGGTTTATAGGGTTGAGGGTTTAGGGTTTAGGGGTTAGGGTTTAGGGTTTAGGGTTTAGGGTTTAGGGTTTATAAGGTTGAGGGTTTAGGGTTTAGGGGTTAGGGTTTAGGGTTTAGGGTTTAGGGTTTAGGGTTTATAGGGTTGAGGGTTTAGGGTTTACGGTTTAGGGTTTAGGGTTTAGGGTTTAGGGTTTATAGGGTTGAGGGTTAAGGGATCATTACCAATACTACTATGGGGTTCCTTATTATTCTTATTACAGCTTAAATGGCCCTATTCTAATTATGTTAAGAGTTTTCCCAAGACTCGCTGCCTCGGGACACGGGTATTCCGCGCAGAGGGTCCACGCGAGCGATGTAGGAATCGGCCTCCAGCTGCAGCCTCAGATGTGGGAGTTTCCAAGAGTTAAGGGGTTTAGGGTTTAGGGTTTAGGGTTTGAGAATAAGGTACCTTAGGGCCTTTAAAGGGCTCTATAAGGGTTTAGGGGGGTTAGGGGGGTACCTTTAAAGGGATCCTAGGGTTTAGAGTTTCCGAAAATTAGGGGTACCCTATTTGGGGGTGCTTATGATCAGGATCCTACTTAGGCTTTAGGGTTTAGGGGCTATTTGGGGTACAAGATTAGGTCCCTTATTTTCGGAAACTCCCATGTGTATACAGCTTTTCTCAAGGCTGCGTACACGTTGCTTGGCTTTGATTGTGGGGTATACTTAAACAGGGAACTCCAGAAAGTTGGAATATGGTTTCATGGCAGGATACCCTGTAATTTACCATAGAAGGGTTAGGATAATCATATTCCAACTTTCTGGCTTTTTACCTTAAAGGGTCACAGAACTTCGCAAGTGGGCGAAGCAGGGTGAGAACACCTGAGCTCCACGAACAGAGCTTGAAGGCTTAGACCCACGGTTTAGAGTTTAGGGTTTAGGGTTACTTATAACCTGGATGTAACTGACTTCGGGGACTTGCAAGTGGGCTGTAGCATGCCATAGCTGCAGCTATAACTCCGTTACATGTACCCAGAACCTGCAGGTGTAGACCTTGTACCCTGAACCTTGCAGAAATTATCTTTTTGAGGATTAGATCACTGTAGCAGAGCCCTTCCACAACCCTTCAGGAACCTCAACCTTGCAACCCTAAAACCTGAACTAGCCTAAATGGGAGTTTCCGAAAATTAGGGGTACGTTACTCGGGGGTCCTTATAACAAGGATCTTACTATTTAGGGTACTATATTGGGGTCCCCTATTTTCGGAAACGCCCAAGCTTCAAGCGCACAAAACCCTACACGCCAAACCCTCAAACCGCAAGCCTTGAAAACGTAGAGCCTCATGTTGGTGGGGGCCAAAGTTTCGAGCTCTGCGGTGTTTGGGCTCCCGGCTTGGGTGTCTTTTGGTAGGTTTAGGTTTTGGTAGTCCAGGGTCGCGGGGTTTAGTTTAGTCTTAGGGTCGAAGTCTATGGTCTAGGGCCACAGGCGGTCAGGATGTAGAATCAAGTCTACCTTAGCCTACCAAACCCTACTTTTCTGTAGGTTCTTATTATGAGCCTTAATATGGAATTTATAGGGACCCTACTTTTTTGTAGGGTTTGGTAGGTTAAGGTAGGGTAAAGGTTGAGGGCTCAGAGTTTAGATTTGGAAGCTTCGGACTCTAGGATTTAAAGGTTTGAGGCTTAGTCCCTCAACCCTAAAGCCTAACCCTAAACCCCTGAATCCCTGAACCTAGGATTTAAAGGCTTGGGGTTGAGGAAGTTAGTATCTTGTTCCGGGTCCAGAACTGAAGGCTTACATAGACAGATGCACTCATATGGGAGTTTCCGAAAATAGGGACCCTGATATGGTACCCTAAATAGTCGGAGCCTTTTATTCAGGACGAACTTGGAAGCCGAGGACTGGAAACTTGGAAGTCTAGACCCTAAACCCTAAACCCTAAACCCTAAACCGTAGAAGTTCAGGGTCTGCAGCTTAGGTCTGGACCCGGAACCCCCAGCCTGAAAACCCCAAACCCTAAACCTTAATATAGGGGCCTTTACAATTAGAATAGAGTTTCGGGGCCATTATTGAGGCCTCTATATTCACGCACTAAACGCTAAACATAAGCCCTGAAGTCCTAGTTGGGAAAAACGGGAAAAACGTTGCCCGGCAACATCGAGGCGTCGTCGCTCCAGATGAAATGTCGCACCGAGGCATGTTCCAGGTTTTCCACGTTATCGACCACGGCGATAACATACCTTGAGTTGTTCTCTTGACCCGGGGTCTATATGAGTTCTCTCCGGATTTATGAAACAAGCTTTGCAGAAGTATTGGGGTCGTAAAAGGCTGTCTATATTATAAAAAGATGTTGCATAATGGTTGGAGTCCTATCAGACTTATTTTGAATTCATAAAGGACGTTACTTAACCATAAGATACCAGAAGGGTTCTACAAGGGTTCTACAGTTGTTGGATTTATCAGAGGCTTCACGTAGCTGTGACGACAACATGGGTTACTGCTCCTTGAACTCGGGTGTGGGGTTTAGAGTTTGAGATGGTTTGGGGTTAGGGTTTCGGGTTTTGGGCTTAAGCTCGGGTTAGTGTTCGGGGTTATATAAACCCTGTTCCGCTAAAGCCTTGAATCCTGAACCCAACTGTAAACCTGAACCCTTAAGTACTGAGCGTGCAAGTTAGGGCCAAAGTCACATAGTGGTCGACTAAGAAAGTTTGAGGAGCGAGCACATGAAAAATTTAGGCACCCCACATCAAAACAGACGCGTGGAACCAGGTCAACTCGAAGGCAGCACCCACGCTGAGCCGCCCGCGAGCAGACAGCAACAGCTTTCCTGGTTCAGAAGGACCCTAAACCCTAAACCCCAAACGCTAAACCCCAAACCCTAAGCCCGAAATTACTAAACCCTAAACCCCAAACCCCAAACCCTAAACCCTGAATCCCAAACCCTAAACCCCAAACCCTAAAACCTAAACCCCAAACCCCAAACCCTTAACCGCAAAACCCCAAACCCCAAACCCTAAACCCTTCATAGAAGCCTAGATCTGACCTCAAACGCTTCTTCAGGGGTCTGCATAAATTGGTAGTGGAATGCCCTTACAATCCTGCTAAAGTTCTTCCGCAAAATGTGCCGAACCCTTATTCCCAAGATCCCGCAGCCCTTTGACCATCTAAAGCCCCAAACCCTAAACCCTAAAAACCCATGCAGTACCAACCCTTTAAACAAAGGAACCCTCTAAAGAACTCCTGTGTAGAGGCAAGCCCTCAACCCTCAACACTCTTACCATTGCTTCGGCTTCCATGTGACCCTCAACCTGAACCCCTAAACCCCTACACCCTAAACCCTAAACCCTAAACCCTAAAACCCAAAAAACCCTAAACCCCTAAACCCCTAAACCCTAAACCCTAAAACCCTAAAACCCTAAAACCCTAAAACCCTAAAACCCTAAAACCCTAAAACCCTAAAACCCTAAAACCCTAAACCCTAAACCCCTAAACCCCTAAACCCTAAAACCAGGGCCGGGGAGCGCGTTGCCCTCTCCCTTCGAGGCTGTCACCTCGTCGCGCTTGCGCTGCTCGTTCGCGCTGAGACAGAGCATCCTGGGCACTCTGACTCTGAGGGCTTTAATCGGAAGAACCGGCTTCCTAAAGGAATCCTTTCAAGGGTTTAGGGTTTAGGGTCTAGGATTTAGGGTTTAGGGAGCCAGAAAGTTGGAACATGGATTTAGGAGGATTAGTGCTAGGATCCCTTATACTTTACCTTAATGGCATGGGGATAATGATGTTCCAACTTTCCGGCTTCTACTTTAGGGTTTAGGGTTTAGGGGGTTCCTGAGGCAGAACATCCTGCTCACTTTGGGGGTTGAGGGCCTGGCTCATAGGCATAATGAAGGGGTCCTTGAAGGGGTCCTTTCAAGGGTCCCTCTTTATGGTTCTGTAAGCCTTACTGCTGTGAGGGTTTAGGGTTCAGGGTTTAGAGCTTCATGTCTGGGGCTTAGGGTTTTGCGCGTCGAGCGCATCTTGGATTTGGGAGATTAGGGCTTAAACCCTAAACCCTAAACCCTAAACCCTAAACCCTTTTTTTTTTTCGGAACCCACATTAAGGGATCTACTTTTTGGATCCTCCCGGGGGTGTGGGACATTCAGGCTCCGAAACCCCAAGCTCCAAACGGAAGGGTTTAGGGTTTAGGGTTTAGGGGTTTAGGGTTTAGGGGTTTAGGGTTTAGGGGTTTAGGGGTTTAGGGTTTAGGGGTTTAGGGTTTAGGGGTTTAGGGTTTAGGGTTTAGGGTTTAGGGTTTAGGGTTTAGGGTTTAGGGCCCCAAGCAAAACCCGCCGCAACCCTATAAAATTCTCGAGCATGCATGAACAGCTTCAGGCAGGGCCAGGGCCTAAGTGGGACTGTACGGTACAATCCCTGGAAAAATACCATCAGGGTGGAAACCGTGGTTGAGGGTTTCGGGTTCAGGGTTCAAGGTTTCAGGTTCAGGGGTTGGGGTGTATTAGGGTTTAGGCCCCTAAACCCTAAACCCTAAATCCTAAACCCTAAACACTAAACTCTAACCGTACGGTTTAGGGTTAGGGTGCAAGAACCCTGAAACCCAAAGCCTCAACTCTTCTGTACTAAGCAAAGTCTCCCTGCGAAGGTCCCCGCGCTGCCCTTCACCTCGATGAAACAGCGTGTGGAGCGCCTTAGGCAGGGTAGAATTTAGGGTTTAGCCCGAATATAGAAGCCGTAATAGGGTTCCTTTGCAGGGTTCCTTTTAAAGGGGTCTTTAAGGATTACTCTTAGGCATATTATGGGGGTTGAGTATAGAGGCTTGAATAATTACACTAGGGTTTTGGGTATCTTGCGCTATACTTACAAGAAGGAACCCCAAGATAGTATTGGTAATTACTTACGTAGAGTGTACCTTGACCCCGAACAACCTACCGTTTTAAGGATTGATATAAGGAAACTCTACTAAGGAGCACTAAAAAGGCAAGTTGTTCAGGGTCCAGGTGGTTCTTAGGGTTTAATGTTATCAGGATACCATGAAAGCTTCGGCACGTGTGTTATTGGCTCGATGAGATGATTCAGTTCCTACACTTAACGAACACCCAGATGAGAGTGTAGCTATTGCGAAGGCATTGAACTTGCAGTTTCGAAACCGCGTGCTCGCCGCACCCCGAAAACCTACCACGAAATCCTTTAAACCCGAAACCCTACACCCTAAACCCCAACCCTCAAATAACCCCTAAGCCGTATACCTGTAACCCCGAGATGCATAGTGCGAAAAAGCCTAAACCCTGAAGCCCTTCAGTAGAAAGTTAGAACGGTTAACGGAACCCTTATATCAAAGGAACTCCAGAAGGAATCCTGAAAGCAAAATGCTCGGATGAAGATTCCCGTAGGATGCTGCCAGATGCGGCTATCTGCAGCCGGCAAGACAGCACTTTGCAAGGTACAGGGGCCCTTTCATATGCGAGCCCCCAAAATGCTAACAAAAGGTTGTCTACAGACCCCTGCAGGAGGAACTCGGGAAGACACAAGAGATATAAGTACATCTATGTACGTGTGCATGCCTTCGCGGTGTATGTATGTGCATGTATCTGTATGCATGTGTAAGTGTCTTCATGTGTACATACATAGATACATGCGTACATGCATGCATGCATACACACATACATACACACATACGCACATACACACATACGTGCATCCATACATACATACATACATATATATACATACATACATACATACATACATATATACATACATACATACATACATACGTACATACATACATACATGCACAAACATATATGCATACATACGAACATACATACACCAACCATACATACATACACACTTACTTACATACTCGCATACATGCATACTTAGGTACTTCCTTACTTACTTACTTACGTACATCCACGCCCATACTGACGTACATACAGTTATATCCATACGTGCACGAGTGTGTATGTCTATGCGCACGCCTATTCTTATTTACATGCTTACCTTATTTCTTTGCCTCCTTCGTCTAGTTACTGCTTTATCTCCGGAGCCTCGACACCGAAACTGCAGCCCTGAAGCCCAAGTCCTGTTTTTGCGGTCCTACAGTTTTTTCGGTTTGGGGTTCAGGGTTTGGGGTTGAGGGGGGTTTTCGGTTTGGGGTTCAGGGTTTTGAGGTCGGTTGAGTCGAATTATAGGGTTTAGAGTTTTGGGTTCAGGGTTCTACGGTCCAGGGTGGTTGTGAGTCTTGCACTGTTGCAGCCGCTAGCACTTGCCGCGGCTCGGGACGATGCGCTGAGCAGTGTCCACGATAAGGAAATCGAAACCTGCTGCATCGTCGACGCCCTGCCGCGCCTTGGCTGATTACAATTAGCGAGCAGGAAGAAGAAGCAGAAGAAGAAGAAGAAGAGGTCATGCTGATCAAAGATGGTGGAAGCTACACCCGACAATCAGAAAAGGGTGCCATAAAAATCAGCAATATCGCCCGAAGGCAACGGCAGCAACTTCATCCAAAACCTGAGCCCTACAATCTCAAATACTACAAGTCTGCAACCAGGACCTCCATCCCATGCCCCTGAACCTTGCACCCAGACTTGCCTCTAAACCTAAGCTTTATGCACGAAACTCTATTTAGATTGCTGAAACCCTCTGCAGCCCGAACTTCCCAAACTCCGAAAATCCCAAACCCTCTAAACCCCCTCCACCGTAACCTTAGGGTTTAGGGGTTTAGGGTTTAGGGTTTAGGGTTTTTAGGGTTTTAGGGGTTTAGGGGTTTGGGGGTTTGGGGGCTTAGGGGATTGGGGATTTAGGGATTTAAAGGTCTAGTGGTTTAGGGGTGCTGTCGGGAGGACATCTGGATAAATCGCCAGGCGCGCAGAGGACACCCAGTCCTTCGCAGGGACTCTTTCTTCTGGAATACAGGTGATGATCTAAATCCTGTAGTTCCTTTAAAGGGATCTATAAGGCTACTTTTAAAGGGTTCCTTTAAGGGATGAATCCTGCATTACCTTAAGGACCCTAAACTCTGGGAAATATGGTATATTCCTCATTCTGGGTAATCTTCGGGATACTTACCTTTGGTTTGTAGGGAATGGAGGAATGGGGTGCAATTATGACCGCTATTACTACCGTTCTTCCATTCCCTACTCTACAGGAACGACTTGGCCTCCTAGCACTTGCTGTGGGAATCAAGCCCCATAAAGCGGTCCCAAGCCCAGCGCCAGCAAGACACACATAAATCGTCCCGCATGGCCCCCTGCACAAGGATGACGCTGCGCACAGTTGGATCCAGGCCCTGCAAAACCACGTTTGCTGCTTTCACTTTGGTCCCAGGCCCTCCAAAATCACGTCTACCGGAGCGTGGTGTCTAGAAGGCATGGTGTTGCTCATGCTTCGGTCTCGACAACATGCGAATCCCAAACCACGTCTGCTACTTTCACTTTGGTCCCAAGCCCTGACAAACCACGTCTGCTGATTTCACTCTGGTCCCAGGCCCTCTCAAACCACGTCTCCTGCTTTTCACTTTGGTTCACTTTTGTCCCAGCCCCTGTAAAACCACGTCTGCTGTTTTCACTTTGGTCCCAGGCCCTCTCAAACCACGTCTGCTGCTTTTTAATTTGGTCCCAGGCCTCCAAAACCACGTCTGCTGCTTTCACTTTGGTTCCAGGCCCTCCAAAAGCAGGTCTGCTGCTTTCACTTCGGTTCTAGGCCCTCCACAACCACGATCCGACAGCTTCGCCTTGGTTTCCGGTTCGGAGCGGAAACTCTTGAGAAATGCTGCCATCATAAAGAGCTGCCGCATCGTACACGGCGATTGCAGAAGCAAGTGGTCGCATGAACGTACCCTGAATCCATGCCGACAAGTTTTCAGCTGAAGCGCCTTTCCTTGGAAGCACAATTTTGGCGACCAGGAACTGCCAGCAACGGCCCTGCACAAGCTAAACGCGGCTCTGAAAGCAGCATGGCCCCCATGCACAAAACGCGTCAGTGTCCTAGCCGCAGCAAACTTATCAAGAGCATGACAAAAAGGGGGGCGAGCCTCATGTGCATCGGAGGTGAGACAAGGGACGTGTGGGTGAAACAATGTCAAAAAGGAAAACACCACAATGATATGGAAGACGCACACTTGCTTGGAGCTGCCAGACGCACACACGCGGGCAGTACAAGCTTTTGCCCTAACGGGTCGAATCTGTAGCCGCCAAACAATTGGCTAACGTCAAATTTCCGGCACTTCTTGGAAATCCCTGGGTTCTCCTATTTGTCCTGGCCCCCCGGAGGGGGTGGATTCTAACAACAACAATCCGAGGAAAACCTGTGATGTTGCACACTTGCCAGGGTTTGGTCGCATCTCAAACAAAGATCAATGCTGTGCGATCGAGAAAGCGGGCGAAGCATAAAGTTGAACACGGCCCCCCAACCATGGCAAGAGAGCCATCCTGCACAGGCATTCACAGTCACACTGGGGCGGCTGATTGCCGCATCCTGTGCCATCCTTGGCGGGCGGTGTTCAACTTTATGTTTCCGTCGCCCGCTGCTTGCGTGTAAGCGGATAGGAGGCTTTATGGTTTTAGGATATTGCAAGAAGTTGTAAAGTCCGTGCAGTTAGAGTTTTCGGGTTTGGAGTATATTTTGATAGGATTTCCCTATATCTCGAAGGCAACAAGGAGTTTTCTAAATAATACATGCGTTCATCTTGTATTTTAGGGGTTCTAGGGGTTTAGGGTAGAGATATGGAAGGAATGTTGTGTCGAACTCTGCAGCCTGCTGGATAGTTGATGCCACCAAACTCTAGTTGCACAGCATGTGACAAGCGTGAGACTCTGTAGGCTGCTGGACACCGCAACGCTACGGCACCGAACGTCAAACTTTGCAGACTGCCGGCGGCTAGCAAACGTCAAACTCTGCAGAAAGAGCTGGGCAGGCTGCCGGGTGGTGACATCACAATGCCCACCTGTCGCGCGTTTAGGGCTTGTTTTTTTGGTACTTGGAAAGTCGGGGGACTTAGCAAGTAGTTAGTAAGTAGGAAGTAGGCTAATCCCAATTAAGGTCCCCTTATAAGTGTACTTATCACCTGCTTACTAAGTCCCCCGACTCTCCAAGTAGTAGGGTTAGAACCTCTAAAATACAGGATGAACGCATGTATTATTTAGAAACTCCTTTTTTGTTGATTTATGATATTTATTAGCTTTAGGATTTAGGGTGTATTTTGTATAGGATTTCCCTATATCTCGAAAGCAAAAAGGAGTTTTCTGAATAATACATGCGTTCATCCTGTATTTTAGGGGTTCTAGGGGTTTAGGGTAGAGATATGGAAGGAATGTTGTGTCGAACTCTGCAGCCTGCTGGATAGTTGATGCCACCAAACTCTAGTTGCACAGCATGTGACAAGCGTGAGACTCTGTAGGCTGCTGGACACCGCAACGCTACGGCACCGAACGTCAAACTTTGCAGACTGCCGGCGGCTAGCAAACGTCAAACTCTGCAGAAAGAGCTGGGCAGGCTGCCCCGTGGTGACATCACAATTCCCACCTGTCGCGCGTTTAGGGCTTCTTTTTTGGTACTTGGAAAGTCGGGGGACTTAGCAAGGAAGTAGGCTAATCCCAATGAAGGTCCCCTTATAAGTGTACGTACTTATCGGCTACTTACTAAGTCCCCCGACTCTCCAAGTATTAGGGTTCATAAGGCCTAAAATACAGGATGAATGCATGTATTATTTAGGAAACTCCTTGTTGCCTTCGAGATATAGGGAAATCCTATACAAAATATACCCTAAATCCGAAATGACTGGTTGAACAGCGATTAGAAATCTGTCCTTGTGCAGGTCTATCGGTTTGGTCATTGAGAACGGCTTTCTAGCGTGGTGTCCGCTTCAACTGGGTCCAAGGCAGCTTTTTCCAGAAGCCTCCAGGGCCCTGCAGACCCTTCCAGGGCCTCGGCGCGGGCAAAGGGAGCAACATCTAAGCAACCAGCTTAGCCACCAGAACGGCCTGCCTTACGCTACGCTACTTTTAAAAGTAAAGAATTTATTTACTTTATAATTTTTAATAGCTGGAAATTGTGTAGTGTAAGGCGCGGCCAAGCACCAGCGCTCTAAGGAAAATGAGGAGCGGTGGAAGCAGCAGATGCAGGGAGGGGCTTTAGGACAAGGTTGCAAGGCTTCTCTCGCACAACATGGAGTAGGCACACATCGCAAATGTCCTGTCTTGGGAGCTGCTGTAGCTGTGCCAAGAGAAGCTGCGCCCCAAGCTCAGCTTGAAGGGGCAGGAAAAATATCATACTATGGATCTGTCATGCCTTGTTGCATGTGGCCAAAGGGGTCTTCGTCATCTTCGTCTGCAATGATTTGAGCAGCTGGGCTTTCCTCGGCATCTGGCACGTCGCAGCTTGGCAACGAAGGTGGAATGTTGGCGCCAGCCTTTTTCTGGAGGATTTATGTCCAAAGTATTTATTTTAAAAGCAAACCGGTGGCCAGAAAAATTGATGTCGAAAGCCGAGGGGCACACACCCAAACGGAATAGCACGCTGGGCATGCTTCGCATTGAACGAGTTCACCTTGCGGCCTCGTCTTCGGGAACGCATAAAATCTGAAGCGCGCTGACATCATCTCGTTCTGGATGTCCGGATCAACATGCTCACGGAATGCCTGGCCGAGAACCACGAAAACAGCCATGTCAACAACCATCCAAACACACTCCGAACAAACTGGCGCAAAAAAGATTTCGGTGAAAATACAAACTTTGCTACCATAGGTTCCAAACAGTGGATTTTGGGGTTACCTCATATGCCTCCTCCACGCTGATCCGGAACTTCTCCCCCGCGGAGATAAACACAGGTGCTTTATCGCTGTAAGATACGTCTGCCGTGTGCGTAGTTCGAGGCATCGGGATGGTGAAGGTGGCCCCCTCAAGCCATACCAGCAAGTGGTCCCAGTTAAGGCGAAATGTAGAAACACCGCGGTCTTGCAGGACTGCAACTTTCTTGCCTGGCAGGCCTGTCAGAGGGAAGTTGGCTTTCCCTACTGGCCGCGAGAAACACCAGCGACTGCCGAAGAGTCGCTCAAGGGGCTCCAAAGCAAATGAGTTGCCAGCGTTCCTTGGTCCGTAATTGAATACGTTCGTGAATTTTGCTGCCCCTTTCTGCAGAGCCTGCTGATGTGCCTCGCGCATTGAGGCAGAAACAGGCCGCTCCTCTGATGGAAGGAATGCTGGGAAGTGGCGCACCTGGTAGTCAAGGTTCGACTCCAACAAGCTTGTCCATTTGCCGCCGCAGCAACACGTATGCTCTCTGGCAGCCTTCACCATGTCCCAGGCCGTCATCTGTTCTTCTTTCTGGACTGCAGCAGCCTCATGAAAATCCCACGCGAACGTCAATCTTTGATCCAGCTGGTTGGCGTACCGGAACGTGTATGCCTGAGTCGGATGGCAAAGCAAGGCATAGCAAAAGCGGGGCTGGGGGTTAGTGTTCGTACAAACATGGGTTAAGCCTTGAGTTGCCAAGTGTACTAGATACACATCTGACGGTGCTACAATAAAGATACGACTGAACCTTCTGGGCGAAGTCCTACCTTCGCAGCTCGGTACTCCTCATCCAGCCATAAGAGCCGTCTTCGTCAGCAAGCTGTGCTTCACTACGAACTGACCAAACTCCACGTGGTCCATCGTTCTGGGCTTCACTGCAAGCTGGTTCTTCTTTCCGAGATATGCCAAGCATCTGTCTTTGTCAGCTCTGTTGGCTCCTCTTGGAATGTTCTGCAAACACTCCAAGATAGGCTCGTGGCCATCACACAGCCAGGGACTATCGTCAATCGTCTTCTCCGGACGGGGCACCGACAAATACAAAATGAGAGACCAATAATACTCATGACAACTTTCAATGTAGCAATAAACTCGCT